ATCGACGAGGACAACGCTTTGGCGATGGTGGCCGTGGAGGTGGTCAAGATCTACATGCGACTGTGGCTGGGGTTCACCATGGAGAACCCCATGGGCAGCTTGACCTGGGACTTCCCGCCGCTGGAGGCCATCATGAAGTCAGACGGTGTGTGCCGCGTGGAGGTGGACTATTGCATGTATGGAGAGGAGTGGAAGAAGCCGACCACCCTCTTCACGAACGTGCAGGAGATGAAGAAGCTAGAGCTGAAGTGCGAGGGCACATTCTGGCGATGCAGCCGGACTGGGCGACCGCACCGCGAGCTGAGAGGGCGATCCCCTTGTGGTGCGAGGTGGACGCAGCTGGCGTGTGCTTATCCATTGGAGCTCTGCGAGGCGTGCGCCTCTATCTTGCAGGAACTGGAACCGCACTGGGATTCAATGCCCCACGGCGCGAGAGTGAAGCTTGATGGAGATCGAGAGCGAGTTGTGCGAGCGACGGGTCCAGCGATGTCCTTGCTGGGTCATGGGTTGGAGAAGAAGTGGCACCTGCTCCTCCAGGAGAGGTGGTCCAATCAGGGGCACAACAACGTCCTGAAGCTGCGCACCGTCGTGGCCGTACTAAGACATCTCAGCCGTACGTCGCAGAGTTGGGGCCACCGAGTCCTGTTCCTCACGGATTCCCTGGTGAGTTTAGGCGTCCTGAAGAAGGGCCGATCGTCGGCCAGGGACCTGCTCCACGTGGCGATCATCGCGGGGATCGTCCAGATGGTTTGCAGAATCCGCGGCTACTACAGGTGGGTGCCCAGCGAGTTGAACCTGGCCGATGGGCTCTCGAGGGGCTTGGGGATCGGGGCCGCGGACGACGCGGTCGCAAGACGCGTCGGGCGAGGAGTGCCCCGAGAGCTGCTTAAACGGCTTCAAGAACGAGAACGGCAGGGACTACGTGGTCCCTCGCATTTGTGATCACTTGTGGTTGCTGAGACCATGTGACGCGATGCCTCGCAGCAAGGAGCCTCCAGTCAGACCCCCGCCCTCGGCAAAGCGGGGCTTCTCGCGTGGGAGGAGGCCCAGCGTGACAAGCTGGAGCACAATGCGAGGCTCGTGGTCCATGCCGTCGACGATGCAACGAACAAGATCTACGAGAAGGAGGTGCGGGCTTTCCCGTTCGGCGTCAAGAGGCACGGGCTGCCCTTCGCGACGTGCGAGCAGCGGGACCTGGCCTTGGCAGGACACATCTCGGACGTGTGCTACGTCATGCAGCTTCCGTTTGGCAGGCTTCAGCCTTGTTCAATGGTTTCATGCATGTCTTCGAGGACCGTCGCAACAGGCTGCCAGTGGCGTCGAGGGCGCTCAAGGCTTGGTCAAGGATGGGCTTTCAAAAAGAGGGGGCCCCAGTGTCGTTCGAGGCGGTCGGCATCATGATCTACGATCCAGCTCGACGGCTGGCTGCGCGAGCAGGACTGGGGCCTCCTCAGGATGTCAGACGTGGCGACGGGCCCTGACGGGGAAGTGGGGCTCACCCTGGGCAGGAGAGAGCGCGGCGAGAAAGTCGAGACCGGAGCCAACCAGGGAGTGGTGGTCTCATGGGCAGTGACCAAGGCGGTGCTCGCGGCTCTTGGCCGAGGGGCTGCGCCTGTAGACCTTCTTTTTCCCATCTCCGAGGGCTCGCACCGTAGAGCATGGCGCCAGGCTTTCGACAGGACGGGGTTGGCCGATTTTGGGCCACCTCATTATCTGAGGCATGCTGGAGCGGCAGCCTACATAGCAGCTGGAGGATCCCTGGAGGCGGCTCGCCGAAAGGGGCGCTGGCAGACCACGTCAGCGCTTCAGCGGTGTACGAAGGTGCATGTGCTGATTGAGCAGCGCAGCCGCCTGACTGTCGCACAGCTTGAGCTCGGGAGGGCCTTCTGGACGAGGCCAGCCTTTCATAGTTGCCAAGATATCCGCCGCTCAGACGCTCGTGACACAGCGCTGGCAAAGGAGCTGACCAGCCGGCTGGAGTCAGTCACACACGATGCTGTCGAGCTGCTGGCGATTGACAGCATGGCCGACGGCAACGCAGAGCATACAAGCAGGCCATCCACAGCAGGGCGCTCAAAGGCAAGGCGCCGCTGAGCATATATATATATATATATATGGATCCTCTTTTCCCTCTTCGTCCTTTGGGGGGCAATTGAGCTGCGGACCCATCCGTGAGGGGGGGGGGCATAGTGGGCTCTGCGAAAGCAGCTCACGACCCACCCCCACCACAGCGGCTCTGGCCAAAGCGAGGCGGCATCCCCTGGGCCATATCCGAGCTGTAAGCCGCTGGAGCCTCGAGAACAGGGCGCGTGCGCCCTTCCGTCCTCCTCGCGTTTCCCTCGGTAATGGTTTAGCAAGAGATAGAACAGGGTAGAGTAGGTTTTTGAATGGGTTTTAGAACGACACCATATTCTCCCTATTCCTTCCACCCATGTGTGTGCCGCTTTTTTCAGGGCTGTCAGAGGCACAAGTGCCAGTCAATGAGGATCGGGACTGGATTTCGGCATCCGATTAAGAGGTTCCGACCATCAACGCTTGGATCGGTCAGGCACCACGAGTGCTGGTGCTGTTGTGGCCCTCTTCGAAGGGCGGATGGCCGTGTGAATACTTTTTCGGAGGGTGCCCCCTCCTCTCGAGCCTGCTCGCAGCATCGTCCTTGATTTCAGCAGTGCGTCGGAGATTCACGTTTTGTATAGTCTCAGGGTTGTCGCTCGATCCCCGCCTGCCCCCAAAAAGCTTAAGGCACAAAAGCTTTACTCTCAGGCACGCTCCGAGTTACTGTATACTCAAATCTGGCTCTCAGTGCTAGGAGCTTGTGTCAATGAGAAGATACAGGGGCACGACTGTGCAATGAGCACCCTCAACATATTCGTGGTAATACTGATGACGTGATCATTTCTCCCAACCCCATCCTCCCAACCCGATAACTTGTCTTTCTGGACCTGGGAGGCCCAGACTGTCCTGCCAGCCAGACATCTGACCTCCGCGGCTGCGGCGCGCGCGCGCGCGCCCGGCGCGCGGCCAGGCGCCCCGCAGGCGGCGGCAAGCGGCTCGGGCCGCAGGCGTGGCGCGCTTTTTGTTGCGCGCCCTCCTCGCAGGGGCTGAGGGCGCCCGCGTCTGGGGCCTTCCTCGGGTGGGCCCCCCCTGACGGGGATGAGTCGGGTAGGGGATCGACTGCAGCATTGTTTGTTGTCATCTCTCATGGTAGCTGCTTTTGCTTCCGCCACCTTCCGCGGGCCGTCCGCCGCCTTCCGCTCAGGAAGAGGTGCCAACTCCTTCGTTTCTCGAAGGCGAAAACATGTCTGGAGCGCGCCATTTGTCGCCGCGCCCAAGTCGACGACGCCGACACCACGGCAAACCCGCGGCAAGCCCAGCGCCCCGCGCCCCAGTAGATGCAGCGGGCACCGCGACAAACCCCGCGGCAAGCCATGCGTCCGAGGCGACGTTGCCCTGGTGACCGATGCGCCCTCCATAAGACGGAAGGCCGCGCGTCGGAACAAACGGCGCGGCGACACATGGAGAATGAGCGACGGGGTAGAGTCAGGTGTAAACTGTGCTATTCCAAGGAGTACCGATAATCCTGGGGGAGGGATGAGGTGTGTGGAATCTGCTTTTCAATCTGCGCATTTTCCTTAGAATGGAGAACTCAAGGTGAAATCCACATGAGCTTTTGCGCCTCGAAATTGAATCCGAATCCGTTTTGTGATTCACCTGTTGAAGATTCAAACCTCGAAAATGAGCCGAAACGGCACTTCAACTCCCACCCTTTGCCCTCCACCCACAGAAAATGTTCGGTCCATGGAAACCGATGTACCTATGCTGCAGTCTGTGGTGCGCAATCTCTGGGCAGCGACTGGCGTGCACTGGCCGAAGCCCCTGCACTCCCAGCCAGCGCACGGGGCGGCGGCGCGGCCGCGACAGGCGCCCGCCGGCCGAAGCCCTGGCACGCCCCGCCAGCGCACGAGGCGGCGGCGAGGGCCGCGACGGAGGGCCACTGGCTGAGATGATGGGCCTGTTTCCCACCACCTCCACCATGAGGTGGGCGGGGAGAAGGAGGAGGAGGAGGAGGAGGAGGAGGAGGAGGAGGTTGAGGAGGAGGAGGACCCCCTCCCCCTCCAACTTGTGGTGGTGGTGGAAAACAGGCCCATCATGAAAGCCCAGCACACGCAGCCTGCGCATGGGGCGCCAGCACACTCTTCCGATCACTTCGGCGGTGGACAAACCTCCCTTTCGTAAACCACCCTTTAGTGAGAACGGCCTAGGACGGCAACCGACGGACCTGGACCCGCAAAGATGACGGCCGCGACGCCGTCTCGCGAACCGAAAACGGCCAATTCGCTAATCAACGTGTCAGGGTAGGAGGTCTATCAACCTCCGATCACTTAGAGCGAAAGTGGGAGCCCCTTGGTGCAAACACTGCTTGGGGAAAATCGGGTAGGATATGTGCCGGGTGTCCCGCGGCATGTGTTCGACTGACCCTGTGCGAACCCCATGCTCTGTGTGTTTCGTGTGCCCCGTGGCCGCATCGAAGCGGAATCCTGTGGCCCTTTGCCTGGTCCCCGCACTGGCCCTGTCTGAAAAACACCTGGTGCTGTGTTCCTTGAACTCCCGTGTGCCCTGCCTCTCGTGTCAGTGATAGCCGTGCCGAAGATGAACTTGGCGCCATGCCTGAGACACTCAGGTGCCCCGTGCCACGCGATGTCCGCGCTTGGGATGGGACTAGCAAGGTGCCCTGCTGCCTCGTTGCTGCGCGCCCGATGCCACGCGAGGGCTGCCCCCCAAAGTCAAATCGGTATCGTGCCCCGCGCCTTCTGCCGCCAGTCGCATCTGTCTAGACCAGCGCGAGCAAATCGTAGTGCACCTGAGCACGTCTTGCATTTTTTTCTACAGCCTCCCTTGTGCTCCTGTCAACCTGCTCTCAGATACCCTTCAGCCAGAACCTCTCCCCACGGGCAGGCGCAGTCGATCTCCCTGTCTTCTCCCGCTAGGACATCAATCCTGAACCTTTCTCTCGGAATCTGAAGACGCGGCGTCTAGCTCACCGCCTGTCCAGCTACTGAGGTGGCCCGGAATGAAAGCTAAGCCCCCCAGGCGGCCCCGCAGGGAACCCCCAAACGGCTCACTTCAAGATCTTGTCGATGCCTCGCGAGGGTAACAACTGGGCGTCCCTCTGCGCGATGTCCGGGTGGAAGTGATGGCATTCTGCGTAAATGTAATTCTGAAGCAAACGCTTGGTGGGTGTAAACTTGTCGAACGCCCAGTCCACTGGCTTTTCCGCGACTGGTTCGTCGTCTGGCATGTGCAACGTCTCGAAATACTTCAGCACAATTGCCTGCTTCACTTCTACTCGGTGGATCGGATGGAAGGTCAACATCTTCTCAATTGCGTCAATCGCATTAGCTGTGGCCTTCGGGTATATTGTTTGCCATGGCTGCTTGGCACACACTGGTATCTTGCTGATGAAGGCGCGGGCCGGGCTCTTCGGTGGTAGCCAGTCCAGGTCTGCAGCTGTCGGGGTGCCAAGATATTGAAGAATTACCTTGATCTGGTTTAGGTGGTCCTTGCCAGGGAAGATCGGCTTGCGCCCGATGAGCTCGCACAAGATGCATCCCACAGACCAGACGTCGATGGACTTCGTGTACTCGGAGGCCAGCAGGACTACCTCCGGGGCGCGGTACCACCTCGTCACGACGTAGTCTGTGAGATTGGGGTCATCCTCGTCACCCCCATAGCCACGAGCCAGCCCGAAGTCACAGATCTTCAAATCGCAATTCTTGTTCACGAGTATGTTTGAAGGCTTGAGATCGCGGTGAACAACGTTTGCGGAGTGGAGATACAGCAGCCCCCGCAGAACCTGGTAAGAGAAGTATTGGTGGTGCTCGTCGTTCAGCACCTGCTTTGAATAGATCACCTTGTGCAAGTCCGTCTCCATCAAGTCCGTGACAATGTAGATGTCATCGAAGTCGGGGTGGTCAGGCGGATACATGTCGAGAATCTGGATGAGATTCTCATGCTTGAAGCCCCTCAGGAGCCTCACCTCTCTCAGTATACGCTTGCCGTCGATCAGATCGTGGAAGGCGTCCGTGATCTTCTTGACGGCTACCTTCTCGCCAGTGCGGCTGTCCTTGAAGGAACACACCGTGCCGTAAGCTCCGGACCCGACCTTTTTGATCAGCTCGAGGTGTGCCGGAACCTTGAACTTGACCTTGCCGTCAACCAGCAGCTCTTTCCAACCAGACATCTGGTCTTCGCGGTTTGGCTAGAACCTGCCGATTCCAGGTGAGGCGCACTGGCAGGCGTCTCACACGGTACGCCCTCGCTCTCCGCCTCGCGAGAACCTTTCGCAGTCCCGCTGCTCACTTGCAGATGAACGTGGGCGCGAGCTGGGCCTTCAACCCTGAGATCCGACGTTGCGAGAAAATGGCGCAACATGGCGACAAATCAAGACCAGAGCCGGGACCCCAACTTGCTGCGGTATTTTTCAGGAAGGAATCTGAGAAGATCTTGGAGCCCGAAACCAGGGGAAAACGCCTGGTGTGAAAGACTGCAAAGCCCGCCAGATCTCAGGGAACGCCGGGTTTGGAAGAATCATATCGTCGGAGATTTGGATTTCCGCTCGAAATCGGCCCCTGAACCGCTCCCGGGGTCCGTCCTGGCCAGTTTTTCGAGCTGCGTCCAGCCGTGGCGACGAGGGACGCCCGTGAGGCCCAGCATGGATCGACCCTCGATCCTCTGAGTATCGTTTAACCGATCCCCATCCCCAGCGGCGTGGCCTGGGCCCCACTGGCCGATTTACCCCCCTAGATGGGGATATAGGTCGTTCCCTTCGGGTTTCGAGGGGTTTATCCCCAACTGGGGGGTAATTTGGTGGGGATCTCGAAGGGGATGGGGATGGGGATGGGGGTCGGTTAAACGATTCTGATCCTCGAGCCCCGATCCTCGAATCCCTGTGCCTTGCCGGGAGGTGGCAGGCAGTAGCCAACCCTCTTGCCGGGAGGCTGGAAGCACGCACGGCCGGACTCACAGGTCAGAGCAGGCGGAGGCCTCTGGCTGGGTGCGCGGGCGGCCGCCTGAGCAGCGGGCCCGGGCCCGGGCCGGCCAACTCACGTG